TGCCGGTCGACGATTTGGCACTGCACGATAAGATTTTGGCACCTCGCTTCTCAGTAGTGCAGGGGAACAAGCCAGACGGCCCCCCAAAGGCTTGCGCGCCGCGCGGCCTGGCGTCGGCCGCGCCCGCGCGCCGCAGCGCAGGTGCGATGCGTCGACGACCATTCTCGCGCGAGGGTCAACGGCGCTACCAGCGTGGAGGAAAAATGGCGCCACGACACGATAGACCAGTTGGTTGCACTGGCAAGTGCCTTTCACGAGGAGGTGCGCCGCGCGCAATCCAGCCTGCAGCGGCGCGTCAATCCCGTGCGCGCGCAGATTTCGATTGAGCTCGAATTTCGGAAAGCGGACGTGGACTCCGCCTTCAGGCGCGCGCCGGTCCTGCCTAGGCACCGCACGGTCGCATGGGTAACCTACCGCCTGCGCGGGCGTGTCATGGCCGCCCAGCACATCACGCTGCCTTTCGGGGGCCTGGCCTGCGTGCACGGTTGGGAGCGCGCGGGCGCCTTCCTGGCGGCCGCGGCGCGCAAGCTGCTGTGGCTCCCGGCGTTGCGCTACGTTGACGACTTCTTCTCGGTTGAGAGGAAGGGCCTCGCGGAGCACGCCGACAAGTGCTTTGCGAGGCTGGTGCGCGCTCTCCTCGGGCCCAGCGCCATGCAGGACCGAAAAGTGGCGTGGGGCCCGTCGATCGTGATCCTGGGGCTGCGCGCCCGGTCGTCGGCATCGGGCTTCCACGTCAAGCCCGACGACGATAAAGTAAAGCAGTGGATTGCCGTCATCGACGGCGCCTTGAGGTCAGGCGCGCTCACGGCCGGCGAGGCGTCGAAGATGGCGGGTCGCCTGTCGTGGGCATGCTGCCACGTGTTCGAGCGCGCCGGGCGCTCGATGGTGCGACCGCTCTTCGACCAGGCATACGGTTCCCTGCCCCGCCTCGCGGGACACGCGAGCGACGCGCTGCGCTGGTGGCGAGACGTACTGGCACGGGACATCGCCCGCGCGCGGCCCTGGCGATGCCGCGACGCGCGCCCGCCGGTGCTCGCGCTGGCGGACGCCCGCGGCAGCCCGGCGCGACTCGCCGCAATTTTACTCACAGAAGACACGTTCGAGTGGGCCGACATGGCCCCGCCAGAAGAATTTCTCAGGTCTCAGCGCGACGGTCCGCGGCGCGCGCGCGCGTCGGGCTTCGCGCGTTTGGTGCCGCGGATTACGCGCCCGCAGTGATCAGCAGATCGCGGCGCTCGAGATGCTGGCGCAGTGCGTGGCTCTGTCCACGTGGGCACGCGCGCTCGCCGGCCGCCGCGTGGTCTTCTTCTCAGACAACAGCGTCGCTGAGTGCACTTTCAGGAAGGGCGCCGCAAAGTCACGCGACCACAATTGTCTCGTGCACCAATTCTGGTCGGCGGTAGTGGCGCTCCAGGCAGCGCGGCAACCGCGCGCCGCCAGACACGCGCGCGCGGCCACGCCACGCCGCGGCAGGTCCACGCGTGGATAGAGCGCGTGGAGTCGGCAAGGAACCTGGCCGACCTTCCCAGCCGCGAGGAGCGGGATTTGCCCTCGCGTCTGGGGGGAAAGAGGGTCCGTGCACAACTCGCGGAGGCCTTCCGATGTGGGCCACCGCCCGCGAGTGCTGCATGTTAGTAAGACTGCACCGCGTGCGCGCACCACGGGGCGCGCGCTCGCGCGCGCGCAAGCGGAACCGGCTGCCGCGCTAGCCGGCATTGCGCAAGATGGAGCTCTCCCGCGACTTTCGCCGTAGTTCCCCAGGGCGTTTCAGCGATGCGGCGGCGGCCGAGGCCGCGGCTTTATGCGTTCGGCATGGCTGCTGTTCTCTCATGCAGCTGCAGGGGCGCGGCGGCGAAACCGCCGGCTGGTATCGGGCTGGCACGAGCGAAGAGTGCCGTCGACTCGCGCGGGTGGCCGCGCTGGCCCGACCGCTCCCGGGGCCGCCCCCTGGGCGCGACGCGGTGACCGGCATATCAAGAGGCGTGAAGCGTTTTCTAGGCGAGCGGCGCGCGCGGGCGCGGGTCGGCGTCTTCGCCGCACAGGCAGTGTCGCATCGGTTCGCCTCGCCCGCGATTTACACCAGTGCGGAATAAAAGGTTGCTCGGCTGGCGCGCCCGCGGCGTGCGCGCGCGCGCCCGCCGTGCGGCGGCGCGCGGGCGGCCAGCGCACTGGCGGAGCAAGGGTTCGAGACCCACCAGGATCTCGTCGGGGCGCAGCTGAGGTGCATCGCGGACCTGCATGTCCTGCCAGCACCCCTCCTGTCGGAGCTCGATCGCCTGTGCACCGCGGGGCCCTCTTCCGCGCGTAGCGGGGATGCGCGGAGCCGTTCTCCAGAGCGCCTGACAGCGATAGCGCCTGCATTCGAAAGGGCGATGGCGCGGCCAGGACCGCCCTCGCCACCCGTACCAGGGGGGCCGCGTCGCAACGCGCAGTGGCTTGCGTGCCCCATGCCCTCGCAGGGGGAGCGGCGCGAATGGGCGGAACGGGCCCGATTGGAGGTCCTGGTCAGCACTATACCATCCACCCGCCAATATTTGAAGAGCGGCGTGCGGTGCTGGCTCAATTTCGCGATAGGCGTACTCGGACGTGACCGGCATCTCGCGCTGCCGCCCAGCGAGGCGCGACCAATCCGCGCAACCCCTCCTGCGCGGCCCGCAGACTCCTATAATCTGCGGCGTGCGCCCAGGACGATCTGTTGCGCTGGTCGGGCACTTTCTCTTGCGCGGGCACGTTCCGGAATTATTGCGGGCACGCGCAGACAGCGTGCGAAGTGCTACGCCTGGACACGAGCGCCTTCGGCAACAGACGGCTGCTCCGGCGTCGGCCCCCCGCGCCACCGCGCGCGCGAGGCCGCGCGTCGCGCGTCCAGGAAGGCCAAGGCAGCCATTGTGCGGCGCGGCGGACACACGCCACGCGAACCGCGCTTCGTTCGTGACGCTATGATTGCGCAATTACTTGGCCTACGCGGTCGCAGCGAAGAAGAAAAGGCGGGGCCGCCGCGCGGCATTCGCCAGTCAACCCAGCGGTCGCGCAGGTGGCATCCACCATGTTTCTAATTACGTACATAATCCTGCTTCGTCTACCATCCGAGTGTTTACCCATCCGGCGGTACGGCAACACTCTGTCGCGCGGCCGCGCGGCGGGCCGCGCCGTCTGGAAGCGCGCGCGCTGGGGCACCCGCGCACGCGCCGAACGCGCTAGGCGGAGTTGGCCATATCGGCAGACGAGGCACTCCCCTGGTTGCCAAGGCGGAAGAACAAGCCGTGCGCGTCGATACTCCGCCAGAGGTGTTGGTGCCGCGCGCGCGCCGCGACGCGCGCCGTGCACGCGCTGCCTCCGTTGCTGCGCGGCACAGCAGTAGGCACTCAGCCGTTCGCGCAGTTCTCAGGGTCGGATGCCCGGCGTATCCTTCGGTCCCTATTGTCCAAGATAGGCGTGGGCAGTGCCAACCTATTCGGCGCCCACGACATACGAAGGTCGCGACCCGCGACCGCCCGCGCGGCTCGGCGCGCACATCCCTCCGCCCCTCTCGCGCGCACAAGGGGGCACGCCGATGACATCGATCGCGCGGGTGCGCCGACCGCAGTAACGAAGGAACGTGGAGGCTGGGCGTCGAACGCCTACCTGGCTTACATCGACCGCGTCCGGGTCGAAAGTGAGAGGGTGGCGGCCGCGCGCATCGCCGCGTCCGACTGCTCTGACAGCTCTGACAGCAGCTCAGACACTTAGTGTGGCTGCGACATCCCGGCGCGCGCCCGAGCGCCGCGCCCCGCGTGCGCAACGGGTGAGCGGCGCACGGCGCTGGTCGCATCGTTGCATTGGGTCGTGCTGCGACCAGCACCGAGGCCTCGCGGCGCCCGCGCCCTCTCGGCGCGCACCCAACGCTGCGGTTGCAGACGCAACCCAGCTACGGGCGAGCGGGGTGCTCAGCGAATTTGTGTGTATGGAACGAGTTCGGCCCCTGGTTCCATCGCACGCACTCGCTGGCCCCAGGCGCACGCGGCGGACGCAGGCGCGAGCAGTCGCCGCGCCGCCGCCTGGCTCGCGCGCGCCGCGGCGCGCCGCAGGCGATGTGGGCAGGCCCGCGCGCCCCCGCGCGCGGCCGCTGCCCGCCGCGGCCGCGCGCAGGTACCACAGGGTTGTGCGCGCCTGGGGCGCGCGCCCCGCGCTCGGGATTTGACCCGCCCGTGCCCGCCCCGTTTCTTGCCCGTTGCTGGGTCGTGCTGCGACCAGCACCGAGGCCTCGTGGCGCCCGCGCCCTCTCGGCGCGGCGCAGGCTTCGGCGCGCACCCAACGCTGTGGTTGCAGACGCAACCCAGCTACGGATGAGCGGGGTGCTCAGCGAATTTGTGTCATTGGTTTGGTCGTTTTCTTCTCTCTGGCTTCACCTCGCCGATTGGAGCCGTTGCGTTTCGGAACGCGCATATGCCGAGTGGACATGTGCGTCTGCGGGGGGGGGGGGGGTATGTTCATGTTTGTGTCTGTGGGAAAGTGAGCACTTTCGACTTGCACCGCGCAGCCTCTCCGTCTGCAACTCCAAGTGGAATTGATGCCAAGCGTGTCCCGCCTTCGCCCTCACGACGGTGCCGTTACCTCGCCGTGTAGATGTGCGTGTGCGTTGGCGGGGAGATGTTTGGTTTTCTGGTGTGCTCTTGTTTGAGCCTAGAGATCTCCAGAGGCCTCCGTCGGAGGGCTGTCGGAGCCCGGGGAATTCTACATCTTGTCTGGACGTGCGGCGTTCCCCTTTCTGGCTGGCCGGGCATGCCCCCGTCCTGCCGTTGCACGGGCAGCGACGTTGCCGTCATGCCAGCCAGATTTCGTTCGGCAGAGCGTTATGACAGGTACTGCAGCGCAGGCCCCCCGCCCGCCCCCCCCCCCCCCCCCTTATGTGCCCACGACCGCCCTCGCGCTGTAGACTCTACCCCCGCTCTACCCCCTCCCCCACGTCGTCCTCCCTCCTCCCCTTAGACGACTTGCTCCTCCATCAGAGCCCTTGGCAGGACGACTGAGGAAGATGGCGAGCCTGGCGGATCCAGGTGCGCCGCCGCTGTTGCCTTTTGGGGGTCCATTCGTGATCCCTCCTCCGCGTCTATGCAATCCTCCTTCCCCTCCTCCTCCTTCCCACCCTGTCTCCCCCTACCTTTCCTCTACAATTACTCATTATGAATACTACTCTCCCTCTTCCCCTGATGACGTCTTGGGAATATTCGCCCCCCCCCGCGTACTGCTTTTTACACACAGGTTTCCCTGCAGTTGCATTTTTGTCCGAAATGCTGCTCTCGCTGAGGCGCCGGTCTCATTTTCGGGCCCCGCTCGTTCCGAATCGTGCTCCCGCTGCAGCGCTGGCATCATTTCCGCCGGCGCCGGCTCGGGCCGGGTCCGGAGCCGGTTCCGGCCGGCGCCGGAAAATCGAGTTCCGAGGTGGCGCCGAAAAAAGGCAATTCTAACACCTTTTTTTTTGAAAATGCTGAATTTCTGCTTCCAGCGCCCGGGAGGCCTCCCGGGCCGATTCCGACGCCCAGGCCGGCGCCCGAGCCGGCGCCCGGGCCGAACGCCCGAGCCGGCGCCCAGGCCGGCCCAGGCCAGGTCCGGAGCCGGTTCCGGCCGGCGCCGGAAAATTGAGTTTTGAGGCGGCGCCGAAAAAAAACCATTCCAATACAATTTTTTCTTTTGAAAATGCTGAATTTCTGCTTCTGGCGCCCGGGAAGCCTTCCCCGGAACTAGGCTTTCGCCTGTAAATTTTCCCAACATGCTACTCTCGCTGAGGCGCCGGCCTCATTTTCGGGCCCCGCTCGTTCCGAATCGTGCTTTCGCTGCAACGCTAGCCTCATTTCCGTGCTTCCGCTCGTTCCGAATTCATCGTGCTCCCGCCGCAGCGCTGGCCTCATTTCCGCGCTTCCGCTCGTTTCGACTCGTGCTCCCGCTGCAGCGCTGGCGTTATTTCCCGTGCCATGCCACGGCATGCAATTCAATGCTAGGTTGATACTACGCTTCGCGGTGCTCTTCTACGCCATGCCACGCCGTGCTCTACAATGCATCGCGTACCCTTTCGGGATCATCGCCATGCTTGACATCCGACTGTGCGAGTAGAGAGGGGATCTGCGCCATGGTAAGGGATGGGAGGGATGGGTAGGATGTCAGATATGACGCGAGCGCACCTAGCTTGTCATACCCCCCTCTCCCTGCTCCCCGTTATTATCCCTCCTCCTCCTGCTGCCAGTCGTCCTCCTCTTCCTCCTCTCCCCTCTTTCCCGTCCTCTGTGCCCGTTCTTCATCCTCACCCTCCTGCTCCTTCTCCTCTTCTTCCGCCTCTCCCTCCTCTTCCCCTGGACGGGGGGAGGGCTATGGGCAGCTGGGGGCGAGGTCGCGCCGCCCGTCGAGCGCCTGTTGTCCGTCGCGCGACTCCCCCTCGCGGGGGCGGAAGGGAAAGGGCGGCCAGGGCCCTCCCTCCCCATCCATCCATCCCGGCATCCCCCTCCCTTCTCCTCCTGCTCCTGCTCTCGCTCTTGCTCCTCCTCCTCCTCCTCCTCCTTTCCCTCGTCTCCCTCCTCTGGCGCAGCAGCCACTGCGCACCTCGCTCGGGGTTGCCGGCGCCCCCCCCCCCTCCCAGCAGCAGCGCACGCACAGCGCCGGGCCCCGGGGGGGGCGGCCGCTGCCCGGCGCCGAGGCCTCCCCAGGGCGAGGAAGGCCAGACGTGCTCGTCGCGAAAAAGTCGCGGCGGTTGGTGCCGTCGGGGCTCCCCAGGCGATGAGGTGTGTTGTGCGTGTGAGTCATGCTCAGTATGGGGTGATGTCTTCCCTTGGTATTATCGTTCGCTACTGTCGCTAGTAGGCGCTGATAGAAGCTAATCGGCGCCAATCGGCGCACATAACGCACGTGAAAAGTATGTGGTGACCACAGCGCGTGGTGAGTCGGTGGTGATTCGGGGTCACCGCACGGTTTTGTGACTCGGGCCGTCCTCCGAGGACGTCTCGGGCGACTGAGGCCTCCGAGGGCCCAAAACCGTGCGGTCACGAACCGCGCGGTGAGGTCGTTGGGAATTCCGAGGGTCACCATGTGGTCCGTCACCACACGGTCTTGGGGACCCGAAGTTTCGGCCTTTAACAGTTTTCTAGCGTTTTCGTCGGTTTTCTAACCTCGGGTGATCTCCAGCAGCTGCGCCTCGCCGAGAGCGTTCCTGGTTCCTGGGGTGCTTGGATCGCCCCGAACGGCCGCCGGAGACCCGAGTGATGACCCGAACGCCGAACCCCCTCGCGTTGTGGATTTTTGGGTTTTGTTTCATTCATTTTCGGCCTCTGGGAAGCTTCGCCGGGCCGGCCCCAGCACCGTCAAAAAGCGGCTCGGCATGAAGAACCGGCAATGAGGAAAGGGTCGGGGTTGCCGGGGTCGCAGCTCCCCCGCGCAGCGCGAGCAGGAGGAAGGGACAATCAAGCGAGAGGAGTTTGAGGAGGACGAGGAGGAGGAGGAGGAGGAGGAGGAGGAGAAGGACGAGAAAGGTAGAGATGAGAGGAGAGGCAGACGGCAGGAGGAGGGAGGCGGGAGGAGACGACGCGCGAGCAGTGCTCTGTTCAAGACGAGTACCCAGCCAGAGGAGGGTTGGGACAAATCAAGATATTGCATGTCTCTGTCTCTGGCCAGCGCCACGCGGGTGTTCGATGGATGGCGCGGCGACGGCGTATAGCCGCTCAGTGGGATCGGAACCGGTACCGGAAGAGTGAGCACGAAAACCGATGGCACAGTTCTTGTCCATTTTGAAACGGGACCGTTATCGGCGTCGCCGCTTGAAACACGTAATCGCCTGCCCAGCAGCGGCCGCTGTCGGATTTGGACAACACACGCGGAGGTTTTTTCTGTCCGCACCAGTTCTTTCAGATCAGGTGTTGCGAAAACACATAATCGCGAAAAGTCACGATTGGAGCCTTAGACCCGTTCTTCTGCGTGATTTTGCAAGCTGGATCTATCTGTGATGATCCGGGGGCCCGCTGCCACGCGCAAACGACCAGTGTGAAACAAGAATCGCCACGCCCAGATCTCAGGGCTCGGGCGCGCCAAGCCGCGCTGCTGGGCTTCCCTCGGCGACGCGCAAGAGTGGCCCTTCGCCAGGGTGACCTGTGGTGCGCACCCTTTCCCCGAGCACTGGCCTGCTCGCCTGGATTTAGATCGCAGGTGGCAGGCCCCTAAAGCCGCACACCGAAGGACACCTTTGCCCAGGGTCACTCTTGCATGTGGGCGGTTCCCTCCCAGCAGGGGCCCCCGAGCATTCCCGAGGCCTCTGGGAGCCACCCCAAAGCCGTCGCAAGCGTTTGATATATTTGGGGGAAGCGTACAGAGACCTTTCGGCGGCAGCCCTCACCTTCCACACCCAACCACCCACCCACCCAACTAACCACCGCCCCCGCGCGCGCGGGAGCGCGCTCTCGCGAGGGGAGGAGGGGAAGAGGGGAGGAGGAGGAGGAGGAGGAGGAGGAGGAGGAGGAGGAGGAGAAGGATTAGGAGGAGGAGGAGGAGGAGGAGGAGGAGGACCCAGACATGCGATGTCTTGCTTTCTTCGATACGCTTCCCTCGAGGTCCCGACCCGTTCCCCAGGGCCAGTTTTTCATCCTGGCCCGTTTGTTGACGGCCCCGACGCCCAGCGAGGGCCCCAGAGACCGAATACGGCCAAAAATTGTCCGTCGTGATGGTTTTCAGGTCGCGAGCATGTCGGCGGAGGAGCCCGAAGGGCGCGCGCTGCGCGCGCCACGCACTGCAGCGTGCGGAGCGCCCCCGCAGCCTGACGCCGCAGCCCGTCGGCCAGCGGGGCGCGCCAAGGCAGCCCCGTTGGGGGCTCACGTCACGGGGGTCTGCTCGAACGGGGCCTCCTCCCTCGTCCTCCTCCTCCTCCTCTCCTCCTCCTCTCCTCCTCCTCCTCCCCTCCTCCTCCTCCTCCTCCTCCTCCTCCTCCTCCTCCTCCTCCTCCTCCTCCTCCTCCTCCTCCCTCTGGCTGACCCCGGTTGGGGGGCCACGCGGGGCCGATTCCCTCATTCCGCCTCGGCGGGCCAGGGTTTGGGAGCTACGCACTGCGCGGCCGGCCGGGCTTCGCGGCAGCTCTCTGACCGACCCGGGTTTTTGTGCGGAACCGGGTCAGTGCGCCCCCGACCCCTTGGGCTCGATGCAGCGCAGTGACGAGCCTGAGTCCACCACGAATCGGCGGCGAAATCCGATCGACGATTCGGGCTGGAGCCAGCTGGGCGGCTGAGGTGGCCCAGGATTGGTTCTGGCGAGCAGGTAGGGGGGCGAGGTGCGAGATTCTGGGATCGGGATTTTGCTTCGCTTTTTCGGTCTCTGGAGGCCGTGCTCGGGCCCCAGGGCCGTCAAGAACGGATCCGGGGTGAAAGACTTCATGGACCCGGGGAGGGGTTGGGGGACCGATTTTGAACGGATTCGCCTCATCCCCCTCTCTTCGAGGGCGGCGGCGGTAATTCGGGTTCGTCGAACACGTGGCGAAATCCGAACCTTCTCCTCGCTTTTTTTATCGATTCAGGAGAATCGATGGTTGGCAGGGGTAGGGTTTGGATACTGCAACCTACCAGCGGCGAGCTTGAGTTCACCATTCAGCAAATTCCCGCGTCGTGGACAAGGTCACGACGGGATGCTGTTGTTGTTGGTGGTGGTGGTGGTCGTGGTGGTGGTCGTGGTGGTGGTGGTATTGAGTTCTCATTTCTAAACAAATAATTGTTGTGCATCCCCCCTCCCCTGTAACCATTGTACGTTTCAATTCAAGTGCTTCTCCCGGGGCTCGCAGGGTGTCGCCAAACTGCGTTGTTTGGCCCCGAACTACAACAACCACAACAACAACAACAACAACAACAACGGCTCTCGCCTGATGCTTCCTCACAATGTATTCCCAAATCGCGCTCTCGCGCGGGATCTCCTCACACTTTACGCAATAATTGCGTTATTGCGTGGGAGTTCCTCGCAATTTATTCAGACGCCGCGCCCTCGACACTCAGAAAGCACGCTCTCGCTATAGGTTCCCTCACGATTTATTTGGGAAGCGCGCTGTCGCTCGAGACTTCCTTGCGATTCCTGCATGGCGCATGCTTCAGCAACCCGCGAACTCGACCTTGCCACCTGGGCCCGCCTTCCGACCCGCCCGACAGGTCTGCCCGCCCGATCTGCCCGTCTGGTGCTGCCACGTGTTTTCTGCTCCCAGCCCGCCTCCTGCTACTCTCTCTCGTGCTCAATCCTCGTCCCTCCCCCTTGTCCCTTCCTTCCATCCGTCCTCTCTTGCCCTGCCTTAGGGGCTGCACAAAATACATGTTGCAGGCGATAGAGATACACCCCTATAGGGGGGTACGATCGCAGACGAAAGGGCAGTCATCGAGGGTTTGGGATATACGTGTTGAGTGCCTGTGTTGTTGTTGATGATGGTGCTGTTGTTGGTGGCGTTGGTGGTGTTGTCGTTGATGTTGTTGACGTTGGTGCTGCTGTTGTTGTTGCTGTTGTTGGTCTTGTTGCGGTTGGACACTCATTTCTAATGAATACGTATTGCTGATCTCCGGAAACGGTTCCGCGCGCTCTCGCTTCGACGCCGGTTGTATGTTCTCTGAAAGCAAGGTTTCCGCTCGAGCGTTGGCTTGAGCCAAATGTGTGCCCTTAGAGGCCCAGCTACGACAACAACGGCTCCCGCTCGATACTTCCTCACAATTTGCCCCGAGACACCCTGGCCAGAGAGACCCCCGAACTCAGGAACGGGAGCGGCGCTCTCGCTCGAGACTTCCTCGCAAGTCAATTAAGTTGGCGGAGGCCCAGCCACGACGACAAGGGCTCCTGCTCGATATTTCCTCACGATTTACTCGAAGAGCTCCTGGCCAAGAAGGCCCCCGAACTCAGGAACGGCGCTCTCGCTCGAGACTTTCCCGTAATTCAGGCAAGTTGGTGGAGGCCCGGGCACGGCGACAAGGGCTCCAGTTTGATATTTCCATAGAGAGCCCCTGTCCAGAGAGGCCCCCGAACTCAGGAACGGCGTGCTCGCTCGAGACTTATTCGAATTTCAGTCAGTGGCCGACAAGGAAGAGATTCCCCCCGAAAGGGGGTGCAATCGAAGACGAAGTGGGTGGGTGTCGAGGGTTGGGGTGTGTTGTGCGTTGCCTTTTCGGCTCCCAGGGGGAGTGGCTTTATTCCCTGGCGATACCGGGCCCGCCCGTGGGGGAAGGGGGGGAAAGAGGGAGCCGCTCACGTCACGATTCGCGCAAGCGCCGTCTGGGAATGTCTAGGAATGACTCCTCTCCAGACGCCAGCGCGAATCGTGACGCGACCAGGGGTCAGTGCCGGGGAGGGGGCGGGCGGGGCGGGTCACGGGCGCCCTCGCGAATAATGCAAGCACGGGGTCCATGAAGCAAGCGCTCGCGCCGTGGCAAAGCCACGACTTGCCTGCGTGCCGCGGGCTCGCGTTGGGCTCGCGTGGCTCGCGTTGGCGCGCCTCGGGGGCGCTGCAGCGCGCAGCCCTTTCTCGAGGCGCCCGCAGGCGCGCGCCGGCTCCCCCGGCGGAACGCCCTCGGGGAGCGGCGAGGAGGCAGTGCCGCGGGCAGCAGCTGGAGCCAGCTGGGGGTCTGGGGTGGCCCAGCCTCGGTGCCTTGTCAGCAGGGAGGGGGTGAGGGCAGGTCCCGAGGTGCCGGGGTCGAGGAGGTGTTTGGCCGTTGTTTTGTCTCTGGGGGCAGTTTTCGCGGCCAGGACTGGCAAGCACAGATCCGGCAGCAGCCCGTGGGCCGATTTTGAGCAGATTTGCCTTCACCCCCCCCTCTTGACCGATTTTCTCACGGCCCAACTGCATAGACCCCTGGGCCGCCGCCAAGGCAGCAGATTAGTGTAACCTCGCAGCTGCGCCACAATTCAGGCAATGCCCAAGCGCGGCTGCGATTGCAAAATATGTGCAGCGCGGGGTCGTTTGTACCAGATGATGTGATGAGGGGTTCCAAGATTGAAGTTCATGAGTGGAGGGTGAAAGGCCCGAGCAGTGAATGTAAATGCGCAACCGCGCCCAGGGTGGCACGCTTCTCCAAGACCAAGATGTGCAAGGTCCTCGCGCGCATCCTTCTTTATTATTAGTAGGATGTGGCTTCCGTGCATGCTCTCTTTCATTTGTGTCTGGGATGCCGGAAGCAGCATAGGTGTGCGTAAAGCAACGGAGGGGGAGTACATGGTCCAGATACGTGGATGTGTGTGAGCCGCGCGTCCAGTCCCCTCTGGGGTCCCGCTTGATCAGTGACGATTCCGAGCGTCTGTGGCTCAAGTATTTGGGGATTTCTTCGTCGGTCAGCGTAGTTTCTGTACTACAAAGGGCGTGCCAAGAATCGCCGACGCGCCGCCTCCAGCACGATCCCAAGGTGCCACAACGGGCCCCCGATAATTTCACATCTGCCCGCGTGGACTCCAATATTTCATTTTGGTGTACTCCGGATGTGCAGGCTATGTGGCGACAGCTATGTGGTGCAATATATTTGGTGCAGCTGAGTGGTGCAACGTTTGTGGTGCAACCCATGTTGTGCAACTTGTACAGTGCAAACTATGTGGTGCAAATTGTGTGGAGCAAGCTGTGATGTGCGAGCTGTGTGGTGCAAGCTGTGTGGCGGAAGCTATGTGGTGCAAACTACGTCGTGCAACCAGCGCGCGAAGCGCCCACCACGAAGCGCCCACGGGGGGCCACCGGGCAAAAGCCACAACCGCTAGCCAGCTCATGAGACGCCGACGGCCAGTCACCGTTCAGAGTATACGTGTGCGCAGGCCGATTACACTAAGAACCCCCAAGTGCAAGCAGATGAGTTCTCCAGAAAGCCCTTCGAATGCCAAAGACATGGAAATCAGTTCGGATTTGAAACACGCACGTTGTTCTGTCACACCAGAGGGCTCAGGCTGGTACCGGGTTCACGCCTGGACAATTCGTATCGCACCGCCCCAGTCGGCTGCACCTGTCCAGGGAGCCCCCAGAGAGTCACAGGATGTTCCAGGACACCCACCTCCCTGAGATCCGACGATGCGAATACGTTGCAACACTGCGGTAAACCAACCCTAAACCCTAAACCCTAAACCTCAAACCCTAGCTCCAGACCCCATCTTTCCGCGGCACCTCTCGAGCTGGATCCATCTGTCATGGCCCCGGGGCCCGAAGCCGGGCGAAAACGCTTGGTGTGAGAAAAGTGCAGCGCCCAGATCTTAAGGTTCGTTGGCGTTGGTCGAGGGAGTCCTCTACTCAGCTCTGCGGCGAGATCCGAGCCCAACCCTCGCCGATCAGCGACGCAGGCAACTCCATGGGCGGCGGGGGTAAGGTTAGGAATTCTTTACGCTTCGCGTATCCCCACCAGCCCATCTCACAGCAGCAACTCTTGCGAAGCATGCCGACAGTCGTGTTTTTCAGGCGTGTGTCCGCTTGGCCCCGCATATCTCCCCTGTTCCTCCTTCCTCCCGCCTCCTTGTACATCCTCCTTGTGGGGGGAGCGGGAGAAGGACGAGGCGGAGGAGGAGGGAGAGAAAGCGCTCCTCGTGATTTGAGTCGTTTGGGGTTTCTCGTCCTGGTGTGAGTCGTTCGGGCCCTTCTTCCTGGTGTGAGTCGTTCGGGCTCTTCGTGGTGTGAGTCGTTCGGGCTCTTCGTCCTGGTGTGAGTCGTTCGGGCTTCTCGTGGTGTGAGTTGTTCGGGCCCCTCGTCCTGGTGTGAGTCGTTCGGGCCCCTCCTCCTGGTGTGACTCGTTCGGGCTCCTCGTGGTGTGAGTCGTTCGGGGCCCGCGTCGTGGTGTGAGTCGTTCGGGCTCCTCGTGGTGTGAGTCGTTCGGGCGCCTCGTCCTGGTGTGAGTCGTTCGGGCCCCTCCTTGTGGTGTGAGTCGTTCGGGCTCTTCGTGGTGTGAGTCGTTCGGGCCCCTCGTCCTGGTGTGAGTCGTTCGGGCTCCTCGTGGGGCCTCTTGGGGGCCTCTTGGAGCCTCTTGGGGGCCTCTTGGGGGCCTCTTGGGGGCCTCTGGGGAGCCTCTTGGGGGCCTCTTGGGGCCTCTTGAGGCCTCTTGGGGGCCTCTTGGGGGCCTCTTGGGGGCCTCTTGGGGCCGCTTGGGGGCCTCCAGGGGGCCTCTTGGAGGCCTCTTGGGAGCCTCCTGGGGGCCTCTTGGGGCTATCTTGGGGCCTCGTGCGACCTCCTCAGAAGCGCAAATGAGAGCTGCCCCCTGAAAAAGACAAAATGAGGCCAAAACCTTCGTAAAATTAATGATTTTGCTATGAAGGAAGATGAGCGCGGCCCCCTCAGGACGCCCAAATGGGGCCAAAACCGTAGTAAAATCAATGATTTTTGCTTCACAGACGAGCAGAGGGCCAAACTCCCTCCCCCCGTCGGGGTCAGAATCCTCGTGAGGGTCGTCGTTTTTTTGCCCTCCCAGGAGTCGAAAACGACCCCTCTGACCACCCGCGGGGGTCCCTCCAGACCCAGGGGGAGGGGGTAGGGGGACGGGTAAACCCCTCCCCGAAGGGGAAGAAGGGGGGTTGAGGACAGAGCGGGCTCTCTAAACCACTCACGCCCAAAGGGCTGGTGGGATTAGTCGAGCACGTGGCGAGCCCTGGTGCTGTACCCGATGAGCCCCGGGGCTCCCCAGGGCCTTCCGGGGCCCCCCAGTACTTCCCAGCACCCCCCAGGGCCCTCCAGGGCTTCCCAGTACCCCCAGCTACCCCCCTCCCAGTATTCCCCAGGGGCCCCCCAGGCCCCCCAAGAACCCTCCAGACCCCTCCCGGGCGCCGCCAGGGCGCTCCAGGGCTCCCCGGGACCCAGGGCCCTTCAGTACCTCCCAGGGCCCCCCAGTGCCCTCCATGGGCCCCCCAGCCTGCCAGTACCCCCCAGGCCCCCCCCCCCTTGGGGGGGCCCTCCTATTGGAGGCAGTGTGCGGCACGGTACGGTATTGTCCGGTATGGTAGACGCGGCCCGTGCGCTATCGTCCAGTACGGTAGAGACGGTCGGTACGGCTTCGTCGGTTTCTGTGGCCCCGGTGCGGTATCGTCCGGTACGGTGGCCGCGGCCGGTTGGCGCTGTACGGTACGGGCCGGCACCGGTTGGTTTGTATTTGGTATACAGTAGTGGCCCTCATGCCATTCTTGTGACGCTAACCATAAGAAGATTTAGAATGTTTATAAATTCTTGAAGCGAATGTGCTCGGAGTTACGAGCCACATGTTGAAAAGAACCCGCCCTCAACCCGTGAAGTTCTTGCAGTAATTAAAACGAATATGCGCGGCGCGTGAAGGCGAGAGCCGCATTTTGAAAACGACCCGCCCTCCATCCGTGAAGCTCAAGACGATGTGCACGGCGCTCAGGCGAGATCCACAGTTTGAAAACCACACGCCCTCAATCCGTGAAACTCTTGCAAGCTTTCAAAAAGAATGCACGCGGCGCGAAGGCGAGAGCCACATGTTGAAAACCAGCCACCCTCCATTTGTGACACGGCTGCAAAGTTTAAGCCTTAGGGGGGGGCGTCTCAGGCGAAACGCCAGGCCCGCCTTTCGACCGGCTTCGGGGTGCGACAGGGAGCAGCGATTAGGAGAATGAGGATGGGGAGCTGGGGGGGCAGGGGGATGAGGCTCGGTTTCACCTGCATGGGTGCGGCAAGAATGGGGATGACGATTTGCAGCAGTTATTGCCCATTTGGGGCAGGACTCGCTGTCGGTGCCTCCGCGGTCGTTGCCCACCTGCGGCAGAAGGCCGCTTGCACAACAGCGGCCGCGCGGCCGCTGTCGGTGTTGAACCACACTCGCTATTGGGCACCGTCGGGGTGTCTAAAGGGGGAGGGGGAAAGGGGCAGGGGGGATGAGGAGGATGCAGGAGGAAGGTGGAGGATGGGAGGGTGAGATAAGGAGGACGATGCAGGGTGGAGGAGGTGGAGGATGGAAGAGTAGGAGGAGGATGCTGGAGGAGGAGGAGAAGAAGCACGAGGAGGGTGGAGGAGGAAGAGGAGGAGGAGGAGGACCAGTGTAAACCCAAAACTCATAGTACACCCCCCCTCCAAGCTCCCTCTTCATATGCCCCTACAAGGGTTCATTTCCACTGAGGGAATTGCCCAGTTGGGGGACAACCGTGAGAGAATCCTGAAGCGTGCCAAAACATCATTCTCAGAACTTCAACGCCACGAGTTGACCTGACTGTTGCGTCTTGGCGATCCTGAGTCTTGCCTGGACACCAATCCTGGGTGTTCAACACCGCGATTTCACGTAACTGTTGCGCCCTGGCAATCTTGATTCGCTCCAACACAAATTTTCTGCGATGGTAACCATGAGAATAAGCGAACCTCTTACAATTCTTTAGAACGAATGCGCGCGGCGCCAAGGCAAGGGCCACAGTTTGAAAAGGAACTGCCCTCAATCCGCGCAGCACTTACAATTTTTTGGAACGAATGTGCGGGTGCCAAGGCGACATCCACCGTTTGAAGAGAAACCTTCCTCCCTCCGTGAAGCTCGCGCAACATTTGAAAACGAACATGCGCGCGGCGCTAAGGCGAGAGCCACATTTTGAAAACCACCCGTTCTCAAGCCGTGAAGCTCTTGCAACGTTGTTTGACGAATGCGCGCGGCGCTAATGCGAGAGCCACATTTTGACAAGTGGTTGCCCTCAATTCGTGAAGCTCTTGTAAGCTTCTCGCTAACCACACGCCCTCCATCTGCGAAGGTGATGCCCGTTTTTAAGCCTCAGGTTCACCAGTGGTAAGGAAGTCTCAGGCACGCCCTGCTCGCCCGTCCGACTGGCGTCGAGGTGCGACAGGGAGGAGCTATTCATAAGGAATTGGCATCGAAGAGGGGGAGCCTCCTCTCTCCCGTCGCCCGTGCTCCCGCCCGAGGGCCCTCTTCGCCCACCCGCCACCCTTTTGTGGCGACGTTCGGGGCGGATAGGCTCAGGGGGGGGACGCCTCGACTCCCAGTCGCCCGACTCATCGCCGATAGGGACGTCATAGCCCACTGCGCCCAGGAGCTTTGTGATTCACCATCGGGGGCATACCGCCGATCCACCGGCGATGCATCGCCGGTTCCGGGTAGATGTGCCCCCCTCTGAGCCAGCCACCCCGTATCGCTCACACTCCCGAGCGCCACCCGCCGCCCTCCCGAGAGAGCGCGCGTCCCGTGGCCGAGAAGGCACCAAGGCTTGCCCGCACGCGTGGCCCCCAGAAGTCCCGACCTCCTCCCCAGGGCCAAGGCTTCCTCCCGAGCCGCTTGGGTGGGCGGCCTCGCCTCGGTGCCCGGCGAGGGCTCCCAGGAGGCCAACATTTGGCCGAAGGGTTCTCGCCGTGAGATTGTTTGCTGCTCTGCCGCGGCGCCCCCCCGAGCCGCAGAGGAGGAGGAGGGGGAGTAAGGAGGGAGGAGGAGGAGGAGGAGGAGGAGGAGGAGGAGGAGGAGGAGGAGGAGGAGGAGGAGTGAGGAGTGAGGAGTGAGGAGGAGTGAGGAGGAGGAGGCCTTCCCCTCCCGGGGGCGGCGCTCGCCCCGCGGCCCCGCGCCGCCCAGTTCCACCTCGTCGGCATGTGCGCCAAGGGCCCGGCCTGCCCCTTCGCCCACGGCCAGGAGCGCGGCGCCGCGCGCTCTTCCCCCGCCTCTTTGCCGCCGCGCCCCCCGCCCCCCCCCCCCTCCCAGGGAAGGGGGAGGAGGATCGAGGATCGAGGAGGATCGGGGATCGAAGAGGATCGGGGGTCGAGGATCGAGGAGACGGAGGGGGAGAAGGAGGAGGAAGCATCGAGGAGCATCGAGGATCGGGGGGGGGGGAGGAGGGACCCAGTCCCCCAACGCATTGGCAAACATCAAGACTGTGTGTTCTCGTAATTGTCGGCGTCTGGGGGCTCTCGCCAGGATCCCAGACCGTCAAAGAAAGGCCCGAGGTGAGAAGACATTCTCTGGGAAGGGGTCCAAAGCTCTGGGGATCCCGTAGGTCAAGGCCTCGGAGGTATAGGAACAGTCGGTGTTCCGCGCGAATTTCTTGGATCAGCGCGGGCCCCCCCCTGGTGGCGCCTCCAGCGCCGTCCTGGGCGCGCTCTGCGCGCCGGGGAAGGGGGTGCAGCGCCGATCCAAGAGAGTCACACGGGTTGTCGACAGTACGTGCTTGTGCAGTTTGTTGTTCAAGACCCTTCGCGTTCACCGCCCACCTGCTCCAGATCTCGCAAGGAGCAAGCTGATGGCGCGAAGACGGGATGACAATATTCCAAAAATTGCGAAACGCTCTCCCACAGGTGTGTTTTTTTTCATGCGCTTCATCTCTCCTTCATCCCATCGCCTATCGATTGGGCTCAGGTTCGCTGTGTGGCTGATCGATATTGATTTCGTCAATGTAGTGTGTCGGCTCGTCTTCGCTACCAACGGATCAGTGGTAAGGACGCTTGTTTTCTTGACCCTCCGCAGCAGGAGGCGAGATATGGATCTGCCAACGATGGCCTGAAACCACCCCAAAATGAGGCCAAGCCTGCGCGATAGCGCACTCGCAGCGATGCGCCAGCCAGCGCCAAGTAGTCATCGCAATCACCGCCGTATGCGTTTTCCAAACCAAGTTGCGAGCGCGCGGGTGGGATGATTGCGCGAGCAGTGGAGTTGGCAGATTCACGGTCTGCAAGGTGAATTCTCTTTCTCTGAACAAATGAGAATCTACCACCACCGCCCCCTTCCATTCGCGCCACCTAGGGGGATGTGCAAAATGTGTAAACCATTGTGCCACATCGTTAGTTTTCAAGTTGGATTCATACCATTTCTGGGGGACGCGGCATCGACCCGCCCCCCCATCTTTTTCAAATAATATAACGCGCGCACATTACGACGTGTGAAGCATCCTTTGCAAAGAATGAGACAAAGTCCATGCACGCGCGTCGTCGCGCGGGCATGCTAGAATCCTTCAAACACCGAGGTTCTCATAACGATTTCAAAATCAAGTGTCCTGAAACTAATTCCGAACCAATGGTTGCGCACCATGGTTTTCGAGAACAGCACAACACAACACCAAACTACATGTTTTGCGCTCTCGTGTGAATGTTTGAAAACACCATAGGTGTTTCCAACACCGCCGTCACATGCTACCAAGCGGGCATTTCGCGCGCGCAAGCCGTGATCATTCGAACGCTTTTGCGTGTTTGCTTTTGGGGCAAGGTCCGTGTCCAATAACACCATGCGGGCCACTCGCCGCGCGCGTGTCGAAATACTCCCAAAGTCTTCATCACCGACCCATGGACACCATGATCGTCGCCAGCGTGACCAGCATCGGCGCCGTCATTGGCCCTGTAATCGTCAGCGTCATCATCGTCACTATCATCGCTACTATCGTCATCATGTCGACGTCGCCATGAAACCTCGCCCGCCCGAGACACCGACTCGCACCGGTGCTCCCACGCGCCAGTGCGGCCTGCGAGACGCGCTGGGAAGTCCCCTGCGGTCAGCGCCACCGCGGCCGGGGTGGTCGCGCCAACCCCGCCAACCTACTTGGCCGTTCTGCTTGCAAGCAAGTTGCGGGCGTGTTGGTGGAACGATTGCGCGAATACTGGAGCTAACAACTGCAAGTTCTGCAAAGTGAATTGCACCACGTAGCTTGCACACCATGTATTGCACCAACATATTGGACAACATATATTGTTCAACATGGGTTGCACGACCGACCTTTATTGCTAGAATCACACTGTTTGGCGCCCACGTTGGCTGGCATCTGCTATTGATAGTGGCATCTTTTGATAAATCGTGATACCGCTGAAATGTTGGTATACATATATATATATATATACATATATATATGTATACAGTTGGGTCGATCGATGGATACGGGTAGCGCTAGATCTCTGGTGGGTCCGATACATACATACGTATGTGTTCATTGATGGTTGTTGTGATGTTGATGTGCAGATCGACCGATCGGGTTTGTTCGATTGATGGCTACGGCCCTTCCGATGGTTGTCCCGTCGTTGGCTCCACCCTCCGCCTCCCCAACCTTGTTATCGGCCTCTGGCTGGTCCCATCGGGAACTGTTGCAATTATGTTGTCCAACATTGTCTTCCAACCTAGCATGTTTCAGCCATCTCTCCATACCCTGCGCGTCGAGGGGCAGTGTGGATGGGGGACGGCGAAGAAAGCGCGCGCAAGCGCACTGGGTTTGCTGTCAAACGCGATCCGCGGCAGGGGCGGCCGACATGGGCGGAGGCCCCCCGCGCGAATCTGACATCTGAAGCCGCACGATCCGCTTGAAAGGTGCGGCAAATTCGGCGGGGCAACGCCATGCGAAGTTTCCAATCGGTTCCATGCATGGATTCCGTTTTGGAGCACGATGCGCGTGAGGGGTGTGTGTGTGTGTGCCGAAATCGGCGAAGGAACGTTGTGCGAACGCGCCCGCTAGTGCCGTAAGCGGAGGTACTTGAGGTGCACGATTCGCGTAAGGGATGTGCCGAATTTGGCGGGCGAACAGCATGGTAATGCGCGTTCTGGGGTCGTGGGTGGAGGTCCCCGCGTGAGGGATGTGAGTCTGTCGCGGGCGGCAGGTCTGGAGGTGGGCCTGGGCGCCGCGACGGATGACCATGTATACTCTGTCCGGCGCTCTCCATCTCAGTGAAAAGATTTGGCCGTCAACTCCGAGTTGAAGCGCCCATTTGGTGGCCTCCTTCCGAGTTGACGAACCCCATTGACGGCCTCTCTCCGAGTTGACGAATGCCCTTGACGGCCTCCCTCCAAGTTGACGAACCCCGTTGACGAACCCCTCTGACGGCCTCCCTCTGGGGTGACGAACCCCCGTGACGGCCTCCCTCCGAGCTGATGAATCAGGTCTGATGGCATGGCCATGGGTGGAGCTCCCTGTCGGGCACGATCCGTGTCAGGGATGTACAGACATCAAGGGCGCCCTCGAGCGCGCGAAGTTATTCGCGCTTCGCGGTTCGGCTCCGATTCCTCCTCATCCTCCCCTTCTCCCTTGGGAGGCGGCGCGAGAGCGCGACGTTATTCGCGCTTCGCGCAGCGCGAAGCGCGACGTTGGGAGCCCTTGGACGCGGGGGGTGGGCGAGGGGGCGACGCGCGAAGCCCGCCTGTGGGGCTGTGGCGGGAGCTCCCTGCGCGTGCGGGGGAGTCGTGCGCACCCTCCCTCTGAGGCCTCGGCGGGGGCTCCCTTATGGGGCACGGCCCGCGTGAGCTGTGTGCCGGCCCTCTCCCCTGGGGCCATGCGAGGGGCCTGTGGGGCACGACCTGCACGAGGGGCGCGCCAGAATCTGCGGGGGAGGGCTGTGCGAGCCTCTCCCGCGGAGGTCGTAGGTGGTCCCCTTGAAGCAGGGTCCGTGTGAGGGTGTGCCGAGACAGACGGGGAGGCGCTGTGCGAACACTCCCATTGGGGCCGCAAGTGGAGTTCTTTATGGGGCACGCTGTCCCTGATGCGCCGTAGACTTCTGACAAACAAACTGGTGTTTGGACCGTGCCGTCGCGATCTGCGTGAGGGGTGGTGAATTCGGCTTTCATAATTTGAACAGTTCCCACGCGAAATGGGAGGCGGGCCTTCTTAGCAGGCTCAAAACGCATCCGGCCTTCTGAGAAGCTTTCGAAGCATCCTCCGAAGACGCGCAGTGCGTCTCAGCAGGCTGGAGGGATTCACAATCCGCGCCCCTTTCTGACAAGGTCTGCCCCATCTTATTTCCCCCCTCGGCGCGCATCTTACTGGTCTCCTCTCTTTCCCCCATCCGTTGTGAACATGGAGTGGGTCCCCCAGTATGGTTTGTGATGGGGCAGTGTGTCCGATGTATGCAAGAAACCCCGCAGCATAGCCTGAGGCCATGATTCTAACTGAATTTCGTGTGGCTTCAAGTGGCCATACATTTCGATGGGTTCGTGCGCTAGGGTAGACTCGGGGACCTGCCGATTTCTGAGTTTGACCTTGCGTGTGGCACTGGCCTTAGCAGAGGCTGCCCTGGCTACGTTGACCACCCAGTGGCGCTGTGTTTTGGCGCAGGCTGCCTCGGCACCTCCAGCGACCTTTGTTGAAAGGGTGATCGAACATCGTGTATGAGGTCATGAGTCCTCCTCCTCCTCCTCCTCCTCCTTCTCCCCCTCCCCCCACTCCTCCTCCTCCTCCTCCTCCTCCTCCTCCTCCTCCTCCTCCTCCTCCTCCTCCTCCTCCTCCTCTCTCCTCCTCCTCCTCCTCCTCCTCCTCCTCTTCCTCTTCCTCCCCTCCCCCTCCTCCTCTTCCTCCCCCTCCCCTCCTCCTCCTCCTCCTCCTCCTCCTCCACCTCCTCCTCCTCCTCGTCCTCTTGGCCCTCAGCAGCCACTCCGCCCGCCAGGAGGAGCTGGCACCACTCCCGGACCTGACGTGCACGAAGCTGTGCAAGACAGCCCCCCGGCGGCGTGTGGGCGTGTGGGCGTGTGGGTGTGAGTGTCGGTGTGGGTGTGGGTGTGGTTGGGTAGAGAGGGGTGCGCGCCTCTGTGCCTGTATCGTGTGTGTGCGCATGTGTTTTGACTGTGTGTTGTGCGTGCGTGAGACGTTGACGTCGATCTCGCCAACTGTGCGCGACGTCTGCGAGGTCCTTTGCATTGCACTCGTTTGTTTTGTTTGTTGTTCAACGTGATCCCGCGCCCGAGACCTGGGAGAACATGGAGATTGCTCGAGAGCATTCGACAGACATTCGTTTGCCGTTCGCGCTGCCTTTCCCCAGTTGTGCATGAACAGTGAGTGCTTCAACAGTGGGAATGAGGAACGACAACTGCGACGTTGAGGTGAACGCGAGGGTGTCGAAGCGTGCAGTGCTGCGAGTGTTGCGGCATTGTCAGGCAGGCTCAGGATCGGGATACCTCGCTCCAGACCGGTCCAGACCGTTCCCAGAGCGTTCCAGAACGCCCTGGAACGGCTGCGGTGCCCCATCTTCCAGAGCCGCGCTGGTTCTCAGACGAGACCCCCGAGCTATCCCGATCCGATGTCGCCCCGCTCCCGGCCTCAGCCTTGCGTAGAACCTGCGGGGCCGCCCCCCCCCGCCATAGAGGACGCTGATCACCACGGGGAACTGCACCGACCCCCTGTGCTCCTACGCCCACTGCAAGGAGGCGGCACGGGGGCAGGGGAGAAACCGGGTGCCCCCCCCGCGGGGAGAAGGCCGCCGGTCGCGCGCTCTCACGCCTCACGCCGTCTTGTCGTCTTCGCCCCGACGTTGTTCGGGGGGGGGGGGGAAATAGATACAATTGATCGTCGATCCCCTGGAAAATATGGGAAAATATGGGAAGTGGGGGGGGGAAGACAAAAATCCCGAAAGTATGAGAAAATGTGGGGAATCCTGTTATTTGTGTCTATTGATTTGCGTGTCCCAGGGCCCCTTCAATTGTTGGAAAGAGGCAAAGCCCCTGAGATACTGGCGTGGCATCGTTTTCACACCCTGCGTGTTCGCCCGGTGCTGGGCCTGGGGCCATCACAGATCGAGCCGGCTCGAGGCATAATGCCGCGGGGGGATGGGGCTCCGGGCCTCTGGCCTCGGTGGGTCACGCGGCGTCAGATTCCCAGGGAGCGGCAAGGCTGCCGAAGTCTCGCCAGGCTGGGGCGGCGGAGAGAGTGTCGAGCAGGCCCCGAGTCTCGTCATTTGCGGGTCTCCGACGTCGTGGCGCTCTCGCTCCGTGCCCCCCCTCGCCCACGGAGCTCTTCCTCGGGCCGCTGTCCCGTCGCGGGCAGTGCTCGTCCATGGCCCCCGGGGTCCCGAGAGCGGCCCCTTGACCCAGGACGCCGGCACGGCGCAGAGAGCGCGGAGGTGTCGCAGACACCTCGCGGCGTCGGAGGTCCGGGCGTCGAGTCTCCTCTTGGCTCGGCTGCTGCCCCCGCGTCTCCTGTGCTTCTCGAGCAGTGCCGGTCCTGCTGGAGCGCTGGGTTGCCATGGGTGCTGTGCCTCTTCTGGTCTCGGCGCGCAGTCGGAGTCGCCATCGAGCCTCAGCGGGCATGTAGGAACGCCTTTCCTTTGATACGTGCGTGGGCAGACAGAAGAGGGAGGAAGGAGGATGAGCAGGAGGAGGAGGAGGAAGGAGGAGGAAGGAGGAGGAGGAGGAGAGAAAAGGTTGGGTCGGTCCCCCTCGAAGGCGCGAGTCAAGCTCGCCACTGCTGGGCGGGTGCCGCCTCCCACGGAAGCGCAAGCCGAAGTTGGCCTTTCTAGGACTCCCTGAGCGTGGGCCTCATGAGGGCCCGCAGCTCAAACGCACAAATTGTGACGTCAGCTACACCTGAGAAACCCAATATGTGGATGTTTGTTTTTGTTTCGCAGCCTTCCTCCCGGCCTAGTCGAATTCGACTATACGTTCTAGTCTAGTGCAGTTCTTACATGTTCCTCTCGCTTTTAAATTTGATATATATATAGTCATGTGTGGATAAATTTATTTATGCATATATAATCATGTGTGTATTCATGTTTTCATGTTTCTCTCTCTCTCTCTCTATATATATACATATGTATATATCTGTAACTGTTCACAATATTGATCCGTGTACCTGCCTGGGCATACCTGAATCTGTATACAGATATACATGACATACATGCATGCGTGCATTCATGCATACATACATACGTTCCCTGTATGTCTCTCTCTCTCTCTACTCCGCCTCTCTCATTCTTTGTGTATCATGGTTGTTTGTTTCTCACTCTTTCGCTCTCCCCCTCTCCGTATCGGAGGTTGGGGGTGAGATCGCAGTGAGATGGAGCCCCCCACATATTGGGAAATCGGTCTCGGATTCACGTTCGTGTCGTGCGTGCGGGCGAGACGAAGCTGCGTAGGCGGGCGAGAGGAATGAACCCGCTGTTACCAGGGCGAAGCCGAACCAAACGTTGCTGTCCCCCAGGTTGGCCAGCAGTGGCCCTGCGGTGTCCCGATGTTGTCCCGATGGTGTCCCGATGGTGTCCCGACGGTGTCCCGATGGTGTCCCGTGGTGTCCCGTGGCGCGGGGGTGTCCCGTATTATGCTATATGCTATTCTATGTTGTGTTAGCGATAGTGAGATCGATAGTGTGATCTATTGAGTGAGATCGACAGTGAGATCGATTGTGAAATCGATAGTGAGGTTAGTAGTGAGGTCGATTGAGTGAGATCGATGGCAAGATCGATCGTGAGATCGACAGTGCTATCGATTGAGTGGGATCGATAGTGCATTCGATCGTGAGATCGATGTTGTGTTCGATAGTGAGATCGATTGGGTGCGATCGATAGTGCGATCGATAGTGAGATCGACAGTGAGATTGACAGTAACATCAATAGTGATATCGGTAGTGAGATCGACCGAGAACCCGGGAACCCGAGAACCAGAATCTGGAACCCCAGGAACCCCGCCGCCCACCGAAATCGGCCCCGAACCACCAAACCGGAACCAGGGAACTCGGGAACCCGGCCGCGTATTGAAATCGGTTTAGAATGTTCGCCAAATGTTTCAATTTCCGGTAGTTCCCATTCAGTGCAAGCACCGATTGGGGAAAAAGGTTTTTCTACACTGACTGAGAGGACCTCCCTGCTCGTCCCCCCACCTCCTCGTGCACGACCACGTAGGCGTGCAAGCCGCCTACGGCCATGTATGCGGGCTCGCGGGCTCATCGAGGAAGGGGGCACGGCGGCAAGAAGGGAAAGAAGAAAGAAGGAAGACCAGGCCAGGAAGTACCCATCCACCACCATCATTAAACACAACATAAAACTCCACTCAATAACCCATCTACAAAACGTGTGATTGAGGAAATCACTTAGGCTGAGCATCAGGCACGGCTCAATGTGTATATCAATTGGACTCGATTTGCAGAAACTTGAAATGAGCGTCCCGTCAGAGGCTGGGCATTCTTTTTGAACAAGTGACCAGATGAGCTTCGAGGCTTGCATAGAGCAAGCGACTGTAGATATCCTTGTCCTCCGAATCTGACCTGGGGGAAGCAAGCCGACATCCAAGGAGTCAAGAGCTCCTGAGATAAAATAACAAAATCATATAATCACCATCCAATGAGCCTGCAACCTCCACATTCTCCAAATAACCCCCTTAGACAGTACTACTCCCAGGGGCACTCATGCCCAGTGTTGGGCTGGGGGGAAAGACCGGCATGCAATGCAGCAGGCGTACAACGTTGCAAATGCGAGGGCAAAAAGAGAATCGACAAGCATGGGAGAGCACCAAGAGGTTCAAAGAGTCTAATGGGGGAGTCTCAGGGGGAAGAGGTTGAAGATGCTGCCCCTAACTGGATACGCAGGCTTTGGCATCTAGGATTGAAATCCCAATCAAGAACAAAGCGTCCATAGACCATTTCGGAAGCAGTGTTAACGTTGACGCCGATTATCGAGTGATCTCTCGTGGAGGGGGCGTTTCACTGGGGAAGAGAACAGAAAGCCCTGGCCAAGCAATGAAAGTTGCATACTTACATTCCCCGATCCCTGTCCAGACAATTTGTTGAACACATGTTACAACTCGCCTGTACGCTTGTCAAACCACCGGGTCCACAACGCCTGTTCAGCCGGCAGGAATTGGGATATTAAGCAATATGTGCAAAGCAATTGTTAACCAAGTTTGCAGACCCTCGTACTTCTCCAACGGCCGTCAAACGTGCACTTGTCACACAAAGCGCAGTGTTGCACATCTGATGGTTCACACTGCAAATGGTAGCGGCTGCTGTTGCTTCAAATAACAGGCCACAAGTTCCTCTTGCATGAGCTACAGGTCGGTGGTGCCACAGATGATGAGGGAAGCGCGCCAGTGGATGGCCCTGAATACACTAAAGGGGGGGGGTGCTCGCAGAACCCCCCCATCCTCCCCCCCTTCAAAGGGGGGGGTGAGATTTTCGACCCCCCCCCCTCCCCCCCTTAGCGCTGGAAAGGGAGGGGGGGGGTCGAACCCCTCTCCTTTTTTGCGGCGAACTGGGGGCTGGGGAGGGGGCCTCTCGGGTAGTGAGCAGAGTCGAGTGTATTGAGCAGCGGTTGGTGAGTAGTGGGTGTGTGATAGTGAGTCGTGCGCAGTGAGTCGTGAATGGTGAGCAGTGAGCAGCGTTTAATGGGTAGTGGTAGTAGTGAGTAGCGCGTATAGGGTAGTGGGTAGTGAGTAGAGGGAAGGAAGTAGTTCGCAAGGAATTGCGAGCAGTGGGTAGTGAGGAGTGAGTCGTGTGTAGCGAGTAGTGCACAGTACGTAGTACGCAGGGAGTAGGGATGAGGGAGTAGACAGTAGCGAATAGCGAGGAGTGAGTAGTGGGTAGTGAGTAGTGAGTATTCGCAGTGAGTAGAGAGTAGTGAGTAGTGAGTGGTGAGTAGCGAGTAGCGAGTAGGGAGTAGCGAGTAGGGAGTAGTGAGTAGCGAGTAGGGCGTTGTGAGTAGTGAGTAGTGAGGAGGGAGTAGTCAGGACTCAGTAGTGAGTAGTGAGTAGGAAGTAGTGCGTTGCGAGTAGGGAGTAGCGAATAGTGAGTAGTGAATAGCGAGTTGTGAGCAGTGAGTAGGGAGTAGTGGGTAGTGAGAAGCGAGAAGTGGGTATTGAGTAGTCGGTAGTGAGTAGGGAGCACCGAGTAGACATTAGTGAGTAGTGAGTAGCGAGTAGCGACTTGCGACTAGTGACTAGTGAGTAGGGAGTAGGGAGTAATGGGTAGTGAGTGGCGAATAGTGCGTACTGGGTAGTGAATATGTCTGTTTGGGTAGCGAGTAGCGGATAGTGAGTAGTGAGTTTTGGGCAGTGCGCAGGGAGTAGTGACTTGTGGGCTTTCAGTAGCAATTTGCTCATAGTGGTTCGTGGGTAGTGAGTAGTGCTTGGTGAGTAGTGAGTCGTAAGCAGTGAGTAGTGTTTTGTGAGTAGTGACTATTGAGCACTCGGTGGTGAGTAGCGAATTGAGAGTAGTGAGTAGTGGGTAGTGGGAGCGCAGTGAGTAGTGAGTAGTGGGAAGTGGATAGTGCGTATTAGGTAGGGAGTAGTGAGTAGTGAGTAGTGTGAGTACTGTGTAGGGTGTGGGGAGTAGCCAGTAGTGGATACTTAGTAGTGAGTTGTGGGCAGTGAAAAGTGAGGTGTGAGTAGTGAGTAATGGATAGTGGTTAGTGGGTAGTGAGTAGTGATTTTTGATTAGCGAAAAG